TCTTATTCTGGCGGGGGGGGGGGACGGGCGCCCCCAAATTAATCAGACCCTAGGATTAGGAGACCCCCCACCGTGTAATAGTGGCATAATCGGAATTTGGTAGGACCCTACTGCAATCCTCATTATCCCTTGTAGTCATGGCATAACGTCAGCGGTTTATGCGTTTCGGGGGGTGCTGCTCCAGAACCTGCTCCAGAAACCGCTCCAAGGCCCAAGGGCTGGAGACCCCATCGCTTCGTTATCTTCGCTTTGCAAGAAATAAAAGGAGAATTGCTGAATTTCTGATTTTCCAATACGAAGTCCAAAATGGAAGAGCTAAATCTAAAGGACGTCGAACCGTGAGTCACGAGCCCGGATTAACCATCCTGCTTGAGACCAAGACCACTGAACCACCCCAATGAGCTTTCCCCCAAAGCCCTTCCACCCTTTTAGTCCCTAAGCCAATGAATGATTGAAACCCTTGCAGCCTGCACCAAACAAAACCAAACCATTTCAAACCTTGACCGCCTGCCCTCCAAAAGACTCAACATCAAAAGCCAGTATGCTACGGTTACCTAAGCTTGAGCTACGATCCCTAAATCCGCATTTACCCTAGACTGCAAAACTTTCAACCCCAGAGCACCTTGCGTCAAATCTGCGGCAAAGCTGAACCCCCCAACCCAACTCCAAAATCCCAAGAAGTCAAATCTTTAACTTTCTGCTGAACCTCAAGACCCCGAAACATAAACTATGGACCCACCTCAAGCGTTGAAACTGCCCGGAAGCCCAAGCCCACAAATTCCAACACTGAAACACTGCTTGAAAAATTGTGCATTGAGTCCTGAGAACATACAAATGTGTAGTACAGGCATGAACGGTTTGATACAACTCGGCAAACCGAGTGTTCTGACACGTTCAAGATAGACTTGGATTGGTAGAAGGTGAATTTCGTACCACGCAGCACATTTTGGCGTATGCTGAATAAAATCTACGGCAATCTATGGCACTCAACGCAAAACTGTGCGTCTGACTTGCTGACAGTCGGCCCTCTGTCGGGCAAAACTGATGATAGCGCCGCTCGAAGATTCCAGTCAGCACGCGCGCGCACGACAAGAATATGCTGGACATACCTGTGATTATTTTGTTTGTGTGCGTGAATGTATCTGTGTGCATTGTGTGGGCGTTGACACGGGCGTATGCTGCGACCCGCGCCCTGAAAGTTTGAGCCCTTGAATCCCAAACCCTAAACCGTCTGCATTGTGAATCCTTGACAAACCTGAAATCAAAGTGGGCGGGGTCCAGGTGGACGGGAGTGGTCCTAACCATTCTGCTTTGTTCCACACCGCCAAGCAAATACTCCAGAATGCGAAGGTACCTTTCCAACCACCCTTGTTGATTTGAAGCGCCTGATGTAGCCGGACACGTCAACAGTGCTTGCACACTTACACCAAAAAGCAGGCATCACACCGGTCGATAATCTACGGCAAAGCACTGGCAAAAAGCAAAGTAAGCAGCGTACAGGCCGGTGTCGGTTCCACTTCCAGCGCGTGCGGGGACCGCCTGTCATCGCAAGCAACTGGGCTGGACTCTTCTCGAAGCACTCCTCACAGCATTGACTTATTATCTTTATGTTTACTGGCGCCTCCGTAGAAGTCCTCTTTGGACTTTTTGGCCTGTCTACAGACCTAGCTCTCGGGCAAGTGATGAATGTATTGCGAGATGGGGCTGAGTCTGAGGCTGCAGCGCAGGAGGCGGACTGCTGGATCTCGGCCTGGCCTGCAAATATCATCAGAGCGGAGCATTCACTAGAAATGTAGACCTTTGTGCCTGCTATCAGAGCTTAGAGTCACTTCAAACATTGCCAAAGCCAAACAAGATGCTAAAAAGCAGGCGAGGTGGTTATGAGACACTGCAGAAATGATCATCAAATCTCCAGTTCCGGGATGTTGCTCGTGGTAACTCTACTTGGCGGCCTGCAGATTGTTCAGATGGCCAAGCCGGCATGCAAGGAACATGAGCTAAAACGTAGAAAAATGAAATACCATGCTACACCGCCACATGATCCCAAATCTTCAACATCTCACACCATGGACATCATTGTTGCGCCATATGCCAGAAATTCTGGAAAGTGCTGGCACAGGGCCTTCACTTGTGGAGGCCGTCGTCGTGGCACAGGGCCTGCTGGTAGCAGGTCTAGGACTTCCACACACGTCGGGCAATGTGAGTCATAGGGCGCCAGCCAAGCGGCGCGGGCTTGCTTGTCCTTTTTCTGATGCAAGACTTGCTTTCCACGAATGTGGCACCCTGCAGGCTCAAGCAGATCCTTGGCGCTGCTTTTGATGCAGCCTTTTCCATGACCTGATCATGCAGCCAGAGATGCAGTGAACCAGTCCATCGTGGTAATGCCATGCTTTAGGTCAGTCCAACATGTCTGCCATGTCTGCCGGCTCTGTCCTATGCAATACATGCTCTGCGAAGCATGCTTGCCTGGCTTTTCACCTATCCAAAGCTCAGCCTTTTCTTGGCACGGATTCCAATCGGCTGCATAAGCTATCTGCTTCCAAGAGGTTTCTACAACGTTTCTTCTGATTTCTGGCCATCGGGGGCTCTTAACGCACAAACCTGGACTGCAGCCATAGCTATTTGACTTCTTGGAAACCTTCTGTCCCTACAAATACCTGCAACCTACAGCATGAACAACCAACATGACAGTCTTGCTTTGGCTAAAAGATGGCCTGGATAAGCTGGAGGAATTGAACACACAGTTGGGTCAAGCCTTCGAGAAGTGGGCGGTGAGAAGATGAGTGCAGCAAGTGGCAAGTCTCTGTTTTCTCATGAAGCTGCTGGGTATAGTATAGTCTCCACCTAGCCATAAGCTAGATAAAGGCTCCAGGGTATATCCGCCATGCGCTTGCCACGAATTAAAAGGAAAGGCACAAGAGCGCTAGGCGTTTACTGCACACTCCCTGGAAGACGTCTGCACCTTTGGGCATGCTTAAAGATTCCAAGAACAAAATGCCAATGAACACAGCACTCACTTCGAGTTCTGCTTGTCAGATCACGGCGCCAGGTCCTCAGCCGGTCTGGCTGGGCTCCTCCTGCGGCTCAGCCACAGCAACCTCGTGCAGCCTTGGTACGAAAAGAATGCAGCAGATGCCACGGCTAAAGGGATTGGGAAAATAACATGTATATTGTAGTACATTATGGTATGTTCTTATTTGTTGGGCTGAATGACGTAAAACCAGGAACACACCATCAAACCGATTGCCTTACTCTCAAGCATTGCAGGACTACCAATCCGGTCTGTCGCACTGTGAGGTCCAACGTTGCAGCCGCAAGTTTCCAGCATAGTTAGTTGGCAGATGATGTTGTTCGGCTCGGTAGCAAACTCACTTTTTTACCTTCCTGAATTGCTGAGTGGTACGGTTCCTGATATCTCCTCTTCTCAAGCCAATAGCAAGCTGTAGGTTCTGGCCGCCCAAACAATCCAAACACTTCCGTCCCACCCCAAGCAAGAATTACTAATAAGTTCTCCATGAATTTTGACGGAAGCCGACGTCCCTCTTTAAGCAAAGAGTCAGCTGCTCGAGATTCTGCTCGTCCAGAAAGCCTTGAGCGGCCAAAGGCCTGACCAAAACAGTGCCTATGGAGTCCACATCTTGTTGAACACATGCCGGTTTTGCGGGACACCAGGCGGCCCCCAAGCAATATGAGTCGGGAAGGCCTCTAGTGCGACAGGACCACGATTGGATGAGCATCCTTGGCTAAGCGGCCTCCACCTTGAAGGTCTGAGCAACATAGGGAAATTCTTCGGCCTCAGGCATAAAAGCTCAAAGCTGCAAATGTGCTCAACGGTGGACACTGCACGATGCTGTGGGCCCGTCATAGAAGATAAAGACTCGCAGCGGAGCGGAGTCAAGGCTCATGGGTGGAGGTGCCTCTAGAGCAAGCCCCTCCCGCAACTTTCAGATATGCCCATGTCGCCCCGCCATGCCAACGGCAGCAGTGCCCGGGGAAGGTGCCAGAAAGGCTGGCTGGGCCTTGAAACAATTTGGCAGTTCAGCCAGCTCTGCCCAAGATCACATCTCCACGAAGACCATGGGCACCTCCACGTCTGCTGCACCTCCGAGCCCTGCTCGCTTAGCAATCATTGCTTGGAGGACGGGCAGTTGCCTGTCAAAGTGGGAGAAAGCGTGAGCAAGCTCACGCAGCTGGCAGGCCTCTGGCACCAGGGGCATCCTTCCCGAGAGAAAACCATCAGAACCTGATATCGCACAGCACAGTGCCCATGCCCTGCAGAAGCCCTGGAGCCTGTTCTTGGCCCTTCTTGACAGCGTCGGTCATCTCAGCTAGCCTCAGCTTCCCAGTGCCTGCAACTGCTAGTGCAATGAGTACTTGTCTTAGGCTCCCTGCATCCGCTGCTGCCAGCCTTCGCTGACTGGACCATTGCGATGTGCTGGGTCTGCAACTCGCAAGAATTGCCTCATTGCGAAGACAGCCGGGGGCTTAGAAGTGCTCGGAGCATTTGCTCGGGAAAATGTCAGGTGGCTCGACTGATTCTTTCCACTTGAGAGACTTGAAGCAATCAGCTAATCATGCATCATCCAACTTCAGGAAAAGGTGCACCGAAAGAAACTTTGACAAACTTGGAGTGTGGTTGACAGCTGAAAGCTATGACGCTGTAGCAGTCGCCTAAAGAGCCGCTTACTTGTTTTGCAAGATCTTCTTCATTGCCTTTGCAGCACGCAAGCGTCCAGAATTCTGGTGTGCAATGTTAAGGTTAAGAGCTCAAACGTGTTGCCGACTTTACCTTGAATGTACCCCATGTCTGCGCCCCGCAACGCAGACACGCCCCTGAACATTTCCAGCCCCACTGCTCAGGGAAGTCTTGGGCCTCATGCAGCTCTGACAGTCCCCTTTAACATCAACCTCAAAGCACAACAGACGACTTTGATTCCTTTCTTACTAAAGCTGGCTAGGAAACAGCATCATCTCAGTTCAGAAGAACCAGAGGTAGTGAGCATTCAGTTGGGCACCTTAAGGAGCTGCCGAACAAGCACCTGGAAGATTTACTTGAAGTTATTCCACTCAGGCATGGTACTTATTGCAGCAATCTCTGAAATCAAGCCAAGTCCCTGCCCTTGTGCAAGCCCAACCCGTGCCAAATAGAGAGACACACATCATTGAACAAGCATGTCTGCGCTTGAGTCAGCTGGACCGAGTCGCCCACCCATCACTGAGAACAACCTCCTCGCCACTGTTGGGCGTGCCAACGGGCACCTTGAGAGGTGCCATTTGCTACAGCTGCCTTGCGATACAGTTCTGATCCTGCGGAACCATGCAAAGCTCACGTTGCGCAAGCCATCAATGTGGCTCATATATCTGCCGACCATCATTCTTTCTTGAATCTGGTTGTTTGTCCGAGGCACAGAGGAATCCGATTCTCCTAAACCATGAAGTTGTGCTCCTGGTGGGTGTGCACACAGCTTCATGCGGCTCATAGTTTGCATTTGCTAGCATGCATGGCCTGATTTACCAGAATAACAAGGAAGACATGTCTTGCACAAGCAAATCTGTAATTTGCAAGCAAAACGGCACAAGTTTAGACTGCGCTAACGGTAGAAAAGCTTTGCATGGATGGCACGCAGAACCGATAACTGAAAGCAGAGCTGCTTATTGTGAATGAGAAGCCCCGCATGCTGCTCCTTGCATCGGTTCAAAGGATGACCGCACCTGATTGGCACAGACTATCTTGTCGAGCAAACTGCGCAACAGCAACTTGGAGCTGAGTTCTGCGCGCGCCAAGCCCATGGCGCCACGTAGCTAGCGAGCAGCAAAGCCAAGGCGCACCTTCACAGACTGCCGTTGCGCGGGAAAGCCAGAAAATCTGTAACAGAGCTTTCCGTGCGCAAAACTACTCCTTGTGTTCTGGCCGCTCGAGAAAAGCTGGGAGCTCTGCCAAGCCCATTTGGATGCATTCTCTCTTCGGGTCAACAAGGCAATGCCTCCGCAAACTGCAACATTGCAAACTCTGGTATCTGCACATCCGTCCTTGGGTGGCCTATGACCGCTGCAGTTAAGCCCGGCAGGACTTGGATGAGCAGATTGGGTGCCACCAACAGAAGCAAACCGAGCACAAACAGCCAGGCCATCACCTTTCGTGGAAACGGTGTATCATGTGAGTTGAAACTTGAATGCCAAGGAGGGGAAGCTCCTGCCTTCCGTCTATTCTGCTCTGGATTTGGTGTGGCATCTTCCTCCACCTGTGATGTTGCTACTGGAAACTTTTCAGGTATGCTTTTTGAAATAGCAACCAGCCTGTTGGCCACCTTCCCTTGCAAATTGACGCCACATCTGCTCTGCCTCGTCATAGCTGACCTGAAACAATCACATGAAGCCCAGCTTGCAACAAAGCACTGTGGGCCGTGCATAAGAACGAGTTCCGCCAGTGCGATCGTACCTGAATCATCCATGCCATGACTCTGAAGAAAAATGCGGGACAAAACCATGGCCGGTCACTCTGCTCGCTTTTGTGGATCTCGTAGAACTGAGTAAGCTTCAGAAATGCGTTTGAAACCCACCTGCATTGCTCATAGCAATTGGTGCTGCAAGGATGTTCATCGCAAAGAGGCCTCTGCGTCTTTTATCCTGTCTTGATTCTTGTCCGGATGATAACGCAAAGCCAATACCTTGTATGCTTTGGCGATCTCTGCCTGGCGTCTGATACACGTTGGCATGTGTGATCAAGCCAAGTGTCGTTTAAGCTGAAAAGCGCCGATATCAACGGCAGTCTTGTTCAAACCTTCATGGCTAAAACACGAGCAGACAACCTCGTTGGCTGTGCGAGGCACTCCCAACACCGCGTAATGATCTCCGGAGGAAAAATCCACAGGAATTGAAGAAACCATCCTGGCGCAAGTACCAAATTTAACAGGAAGGTCAAACAGCACAACAATCCGAATTTGCTTCTCCAGGTCTTGACATGCAAGTGTGCGGAAACCAAAGGGCCCTGCAGAATGCATGCAGCTCGCTATCCGTTTACACTCAAAACAAAGAACGAACACCTGAGTTACACTGCAAGCCTGTTGCATGAACCAGGTGCTGCCACAACCGATCACTGAAAGATTGCCAAGTTGTATGGAATTGTATAACGCGATCAGTCTCAATCAAAAGCACATCAGAAGCGCCGGTTTGCCTTGATGCAATGCACAGCAAAGGGGATCTAAAAAACAAAACAAAACGTTCGTTTGGCTGTCTGGTATGCACAAGCATGTACCTGAAACATCTGTGGCATGGGTGACTACTTTATGCATTGCAAGATCGTGAAAATCATGTCGTGCGTGTCTGAAGCATGCCTACGCTGAAATGCTGCATCAATCACCAACATGAAGCTACCACCACCAGAAGAGAGTGTCACAAGTTCCAGCTGCATGTCGGCTGCGGCTGCAGCCTTCTTGACTATTCTGTTGTCCACGAGTCAAATCTGGTGAGCATATTTCCGCAGTGGCACCCTAATTGCTCATAAGCCGTCAGCACCGACTCAAACTGCCCTTAGACAGATTACCAGAAAAATCCAAAAAGGTACCTCAACAGCAAGACTTCAGCAGATAAATGGTAGCGCTCGGACACAGGTCATGTGCGACATAACCAGAGCCCTACAACAACAAGCTTCACTAAGACAAGCAACCCAATAACGCCACAAGTGTGCCACATCGTGTCCACTATACTCCTCATCTTTTCCTGAGAACTGTCGGCCAAGTGCGGTCTTCACACGGTCTCTAGACATGCAAGCCAGACCGTCGCCCACCACAAGCACACATGTATGCTCCCAGCACGGATGGCATGGTGCGCTGTAGGGCTGTGTCGGCTGGGTGCAGGATTCCTACACCCTTGGAAAAGGAGCGGGATGGCAGGAGCCTGAGGCAGCCTCCTGGCTGCGCTACTGCTGCACTGTACAGAGCTTGGCCAAACTTGGCCAAAGCCCAAAGCGAGCGAAGCGAGCGAAGCAAAGCAAACTAGTGAAACCAAACACCTGGCATCCGGCAATCCATGTGGCAATGAATATGCAGCTACTGTGTCCCACTTTGTTGCTGCCTGCCTGACACATCAAGTAGCCTTCTCAAAATCCTGGCTCCAGGTCTTCATCTGGTCAGCCACCTGCCGCACAAGATCACGAAATCAGTACAGTCTCAAGCCACAAAAAGGCCCAAGAGGCGCCTGAGCCAAAAGAGTGCCCTGCTTTGGTGGCCAGCTGCCCAGCATCGCCTCAACGGCCTCGACTGGGCGAAGCTAATTGTGCACGTCCGCAAGATAAGCGAATCCTCCAATGCCAAGGCCGCAGCCTGCCGCCGAGAAGCTTCAAGGAGTCGAGCCTGAAACCAAAGCTTCGACTAAACTTCACATTCAGCAACTAAGTGTGGGGGTTGTCTCACTTTCAGCAGCACCTTCCCCGTCGCCCCTTGATGTGCTGATTGTGACGCGCTTGCGTGAACTGCCGAAATGTTAGACACATGCCTACCCGATTTTCACCAACGTTTCGAGACCGGCCAATTTCTATAGGAATGGAGAAGCCAGCTTGTAGGCATGGTACTCGTACAAGGAACATTATGATCGTGTTGTAGCCCCTTCCTTCCCGCTAGAGCACACAAGATAAACTCTGATGGGGTGAGCATGGACCTCATCAGGGTTCTGAGCTGCCAGCCCTTCTTCAGAGTGGTTTGCTTCGACCATTTTGTTGGGAACGGAATGTGAAGACTTCCCCACTCTGAAAAAAACACGGCCAGAAAGCAGCAGACAATTGGAATGCAAGCATCCTTCGACATGCTATTCGGTGTTGCGCTCACCATTTGGTGCGCCCTTATGCGCTCATCTTGGAGCTTAGTGCTTGAAAGATACACAAAGCGCCTCGCGGAAGCTCAAGTCCACGTTCGGCTCAGCAAGGACTCCTGCGTCCCACACAAGCATCTGTCATCTGCCACCACTGTTTGTTTGATGTCTGGTTTCAGAGTTCCAGGTATGAAATACTACTGGGAGCAACCTATGCGCCTTCTGTGAAGGTGTCGTTGGTGAAGTCACTGATGGCGATCTTGCCTTCAGCTTTTCGCTGGCCTCTCAAGAAGCTTTTTGCGGGCTGCCTTCAAACTCGTTGGATTGGCAGGGACTCCACCAGAACACGCAATACCCGCTAGCAGGCTGTTGCCTGACGAGTCCATCCACTTGAACTCAAACTTCACCTTCCCACCAAGACCATATTCAGGCATTCAGCTCGATGATGATTGATGGTTGAAAGTCAGAAGGCAGTAGGCCTGGAAGTTCAAGTCAAAGATGTGGCGCATCTTGCCGCGGATGACAGGCTTGGAGGCCTTGCAAGACATATAGAGACTATCTTTGGTCCTGCAATTTATGGGTTTCCCTTGTAGACCAACGAACTAAGACGGTGAGGAAAATGAAAAACCTGTGCAGCAATGAGACTTTGCCAAAAGCATTTGGGTCAACTGCAAATACAACGTTCTCCCGCACAGTGACGAGCGGTTTCCGCCGTGGCTCAACAGCAAGTTCAAATCCTCATGATACCAAGGAAGCTTACCTACTGGCAAGCAAAGGAAAAGGATTGCAGTTGATGCCTGGATTAGCTTTGCCATCGAAAAACAAATACCCTCCTTGAATATTTAATTGGTATCATATGGTATCGTTATGGGCTGCTTTTGCGCGTGTCTTCCCAACCCTCTCTGCTGCCAGCACCCGGCAGGTCAGGCCGCTACAATTCAATGCTCGAAAGCCCTTCCAGGAACAACACACACTGATGGCCGTGTCCAGCAAGGTAGTGCTTCAGTGCTAAGAGTTAAGAGGGTTCATCATTGAGAGGGGATCCTATAGGCTCAAATTCAGCCGTAGGGCCAAATGAGATGCTCCCCAAATCATCAGGACCACCCCCAACAGGACGCTCGCCAGATACCCTCAACCATTTGCCAAGCAAGTCAAAAAAAAACAAAGCTGCAGATTACACTAGAGTTCTCCCGACCTCGCCCTCCACAGCTTCCACAGGGCTGGCACTGATGACCTGAAAAAATGACCGCTAGAACTGGAGAAGACCTACAAATTCGAGCGCCGAATTGGCGCTGCGTTGCGCTGTTCGTACCATGACTTCTTGCTGCTACGCTTCCTCCTGCTCACGCTACTCCTATTCCTACTCCCGATGCTGTAAAACAGGCGTGATTCTCTGCTCACTGCTAGTGCCCTCGCCCTGATGCGCATTCGGACCCAGAGGCCCGGGCACCGCCAGCGGCCTCCACATCCTGGAAGCTGCTTAGAGCCTCCCGGAGCCCCTTTTGCGCAAACTCCGTGACCTCAGGAAGCTGGGAACTAGCGGTACATGATGCACTTATGCAGACTTATGCAAACTTATGCAAATGCACATGAAAGCTAAAAGGCTCAATTGTTGTCCGGGATTGATTGCTCTCCACGCAAAAATGGAGGACCGGGCATCTTTCTCCTCCCAGGTCCCGGCAGCATTCCATGCCGAACCTGCCTGGCGCAAAAGAGGTAAGCTCTCATCAGGGTGGACAAGGCAGTCCAAGGTTGCGAGCTATTCGAGTGCCTTTGCCGGCGAAGAATCCTCGGCAGGAGCCCCAGCCTGCTGAGGCACAGAAAGATCGTTTGCCACACCCGGTGTGTTGCGTCCATATGACCACACAAGCACCAACTCACGAGCTGCCATGTCCACTTAGAGTGTGTCCCGCCAACATTGCTGGAGAAAACCATACCCCAAAGCCATTGATCTAGGATTTATGCATCTAAAGGACGCATTGAACACCTTGCCCTCGCACTATTCCTTACCATGCAAAATTTCAGCGTTTGCTCTCAACATCGTCAGCACATGTCAGCACCTTCGCCTCAACAGGAACCGGCTTAAATTCCTGCACCACCCGCTCGCTTGCACGCAAATCACTCCAGAACCTATCAAAAAGCAGCAGTCCTTCTTGGGCTCTTGGGTTGGTTTCCACTCTCGATGTCGATACCTTTTCGGCATGAGCAAACCCAATGCAATCCTCCTTGCGTGTGTTCCACAGCATCCCAAGACATCTGCCACGTGCCGACATCGTCATCGTCGTTATCAACGACCTTGTCCTCTTTGGCAGGTCTCTTTGTCTCCGAGGCTGGCGCCTTCCTCGGGGCTGCCTGCCGTCTCAAAGGAACCATACTGCAGCCAGGATCATGAATAATGTGAATGCGCCTTGGCCTTTTCCTCAGGCTTCTTGCAGACTCTTTTGTGAAAGGACCAGTCTTCCTTCTGACAAGCTGCTGAGCAGTAGGACCTTATGCAAGTTGGCATGGTCAAGACTCGCTGTACAGCAGTCTCCACTACAAGGAGTGGGCAGCGGGCACAACCTTGGGTCTGAGAACCTAACACCTTTTTGCAGACGCCACAGCGTAGTGGCTTCTGCACGTCCTCTGCGTTGCCAGCAACATGAAATAAAGGCTGAAACAAAACGCTGGACAAACAAAAATGCAGCCAGCTACCACTACTAGTCATTACTGGTCACTACTAGTCACTAGTAAGTCGTCACTAGTAGACACTGGTCGATACAGCAGTCACAGTGGCTGGTGACCTTTTCGCCCTGACAGTGGGAGCCAGTCCTTGTGGCAGTTGTGGCAGTGCGGCTTCTCCGCCTCGGCCTTGGCTTTGGGATCCAAAAAGGGGGATCGACAGACAAATGCAAAAGGCTTGACAGTGGACTTAACAGGGGACAACTGGGCACAAGTCAGGCTTTGTCTCAGCAGCCTTCTCGGGCTTCTCGTCGTCTGAATCCTCCGAGACTTTGAAAACGCCAATGGAGAGGTACTGTTCTGGCATCGCATGCACTGCTTCAGCAGCAGTCGCTCCTCGATCTTGTCGAACTTGGAATAGTCGATTCCTGACTCGAACGAACTGAAGCTGTTCTAAGCCACCACCCGCCTGCCTCCCTTCTTCGGCGGCGACTCTACGATTTGTGGAGCCTTGGCATCACTAGGCCCCGCGAGCAGGACAACAGCTCGAAATCTAAGACTCTGTCACATGCCTGTGACAACTAAGACTGTTAGTCAGAGCCGTGCCGACCATGGATAAGCCCAAACTCTTGGCTGCACACATACCCCGTCATCTTGTCGCTCGGACTTCAACTCCACCTGCGTGACAAATGCCATTGAGCACATATCTTCGTAGGTGAGAATCCAACAAGAGGCAACAAAAACGCGCGCATGGGAGCCTTCCACAGAAGGAGGAGGCAGAGCAATAACTGCAGAGAAGTGCTTCAAAGCTTTTACTTCTCAGCTGGATTCAAAGCGTTTCTGCATAGTTGCACGGTGGTATGTTGTGGTTGCAAGATGTCTACCTGGCTCCATCTAGAAATGATTTGTGTAACTTTTGGCTGCTGAGCACGGCCACATGACTCACTCTTGGTGCATGGGCTTGCGACTATCGAAGAAACACTGAAGTGCCTCAAAGAAGTGATCGTCAACAACTTTTTAAGACGCAAAGGAGATAGGTCTTGCTCCACGCTGCTCCGCGGCAACCTCTTCAAACAAAGGTGCCCAGGCAGCGTAGAGATACCCGCGCCCCTGTTATCCTCAGCAACAATTCCAGCCAGCCGTGAGGAACAGAAAAGAAAATGCCTTTGGAGAACTCCACTCGGCCCACTTAACTCTGCCAAGCTTCTTGGCCAAACCGGCCTGCAAGGGAACAGGTTATGATCGTTCACAAGACTTTGGGTGGCGACCATCACGTGCCTCTCCGAGCGCAGGGCATCAACGACGCGTCCCCAGGCACCCCTTGGCTGCTTTAGCTCCTGGACTCCTTGACGGCATCTTTGCTCGTCCATATCCTTGGCCGGAGCCGCCAGAGGCCTTTGGGCGGCTTGGGTCACCGGAGCCTGCTCACCTTGCTTGGGCTCGGTGTCCCTGACCTCCAGAGCCATGACAGGAGAGCATCTAAAGACACAAAAACACCTTCCAACAAACAAATGCTGTGTTAAGCGACCTTCGGTGCAGCGGAAGAAACGTCGACAAGCGCTTGGCTCGTGGTCCTGGCTGAACAAAAAAGAAAGGGATGTGCAAGTTGCGGTGGAAAAACTCTGGTACAGCCTTGGGACGCGTTTGCCGGAACCCAGGAAAATTGCCTGTCGGGCAGAGGCTATGCCTATGCCATGCTAGGAGGAGGGCAACTGAGATCAGCTTCTTTCCATGTTTCGCATTGTCATTCCCACGTGGCATTCAACAAATTCTCGAAACCAAGACAGCTTTGCACAACACAGCAGAAGCAAAAGAGCTCAAGACGAATCACAGAAGACAAGAAATCAAGCTCTGCCTTCTCCACCTCATCCCGGGACAGGTTGCTGTAGCCTGTCAGCAGAAGACCAAATCCTTGCAAAGATTCCTGCCAAGCCGCCCGCCTGCCATGTCCCAGTGACGTTTGGCTGCCGTGCGCAGAATCTGCTCTGAACTGCCACGCCTGGGACATCAGTAGGTTCTATTTGTAGCTCGTCTTACGTCCACTCATGATGGAATGCCGCCACGTGCCTCTTTGGCGTTTGTGATCGCAAATATAACCTGGTCATGAGTTAGACAGTTGACTGACTTGCCTCGCTCTACTCTTTGCAACCAATGTCATGCGTACGTCTCCGCTCCATTTTTGAAGCGCCTTTCGGAATTCAAAGAGGGCATTATGGCTGAACTTGGAGCACGCACGGAACCATCACCAGTCGTCTCCAGACGGCCGCAATGATGCATTCTACTCAGCAATGCCAGCAGAGATGCTGCAAGTTTCCATGCAAACTCCCATTGCACGCGACTGGCGGCATTCAGCAACAGCTAACAGTTGGATGCAACTCGGCTGAGCTGGTGACCCTGCAAGAATGAAGACTTTTCTTTGCATGGCCTAGCTGCGCTAGACCTGCCATTATGTTCCTGAAGCATATCGACTTCCCCATCAAAGCGGAATCCAATGCCACTCTCCGCTGCGGCCCAGTAACGCAATCTCTTTCACCTGGAGCTCCATGCAAGCGATTCATGTTACCGCTATGCTTTGTCAAGTTGCTGATGGTGGTGGCTCCATCGGCCACTTCGCACAGCGCAAGGAACTTCGAGCTACTTTTAGAGCCGGGAGACGACTTGTGGACGTGCTGAGGTCTTCCCAGCTTGACCTTGGCGGCTTGGCGGCTTGGCGGCTGCCAGATCCGGCTGAAGCTTGTTAAAAACAACAATGCATTTCCGCAGAGGATGAGGTTTTGAGGGCAAAGCCTTCTCTGGAGCTTGGAGCCTGTCACTGACTTGGCTTTGTGTGACAGACACTGAGCAAGCACAGCAAGCCCCCCTTTTGCGGACCTCTTCCAGGGCAGGTCGAGGCTTTTGCTGCAACGACAACCTTAGTCTCATTTTTCCCCAACCCCTCAGACACCCTCCCCGACCTGCCCGACTGGGTCATGCGAAAAGAGCGCTCTGAGAACACGCGCTGGGCTCCAGTTTCCGGGACGTTTTGTCCTCTTGGGTGCTCATGCCGCTTCTCTGATGGGCGCCTTCAGGTGTTAGCGGCGAGGAACCAGCAGTGTGAGATTGGCATTCGTCAATGCCGCGCTTCTCTTCCAGCATACTATGTCCAGAATCGTGCCTTACCAGTACAAAACGACTAGACTGGCCATGTCCCAGTCAGCCTTCTCTGCTCGAACTTTGCGACAGCGCGTCGCACCTCACCACAGGCATCAGAAACGAGCACAGCTCACACTGCAAAGGACCCCGCACCGCCGCACCTCTGCCGCTGCAAGGACTCCAAAGGGATGCCTGGGCGAGCCGGCAGGTTCTGACGGCAAAAGCTTTTAGCACAACACTTTGACTCTGTGCACAGGCCGGCACACAGAGCGGCCCTCGGCTGCACATCGCCACAGCAGCGCTTGGGCCTAGAGCTGAAACAGCCCAGCGCTCAACATGCAAGAAAACCTCATTAGAATGGCCTTGTCCGCTAGATGCTGCTCTGATTTCAGGTGTAGGAATTGCACCAGCTTCTCGACCTGGCCCACACGAGCTCACCCATTGCAGTCTGGAGAGGCTCTGGAGGTCAAGTGTGGCCAAGCCACCACTTCGGGACGTGGCGTCAGCGGCAACACAGGCACGGAGCTCGCCTCCATCTTGGTTCTTCATCTGGCATTTACACGCAAAAACTTGTTTAGCGTTGAGAGCGACTCTCTTGCACGGAACACCTTGTCAAGGTAGCTTGCAGGACTGGTCGTAAGTCTGTCACCATGGACTTCAGTGCTCTTGCTAATCCTGTCCTGTTTGGACCCAAGTGCTGAGGAAGCCGGGCTACAAGCTGTGCAAGCACAGAGATGCACGGTCATTTCCACAAAGCCAAGGCAGTCTGCAAAAAGGTGCGATTTTTGCGGAGGGCGGAGATCGCCTAGACTTCTGTTAGACCCTATCACCCGTCCAGGTTGGGGGAATTTATCGACCTTGCATGACAGCAAGAAACTGGCGAAGAGGTTTCCAGCCAACTCCACATGCAAACATGATGAATCAATGCAAGTCTTGGGACCAGTCTGCACTTTTCCAAATGTCTCGTGTGAGGCCCTTTGGACAGTGCCTTGGCTTGGTAGCGTTATGACAAACACTTCATTGTAATCAAAAGGCTGAGGTAGTCAGGGGAGGAGTGGCAGTCATTGCACCAGACCAGTAGATCCAGCAGCAGCTGCAGAAGCAGCAGAAAATGGTCCAAGACTGTTGTGCTGGCGGGAAGAATAGCCGCAGAAGAAGCGGAAGCAGTCTTCACTGTAGCTATGACAACCATTTCTGCAGTAGGTGAGGATTCTCTGTTTGGGGTCTAGCTTTGAAGGTTTAGATCTTTGGACCATTGACGCATGGTGGCTTCGGATTGGCTTTTTGGTTCCTGCCTGCGGGTTTGCTTCTGTACTTCTGTTTAAATACAGGCAGTCAAACGAATCTAGCTCAGGCTTTGCAGAAGACTTGCTGATTTCGTGAAACAGGGGAACTTGGGACAAGTCACGGGTGTGATTGCAGAACAAGGGCCTTGGTTACAAGATCTCTTCAGCATGTCAGACAAAAACAAGGATTTTTGCAGCTGCGGCACACAGCTGTGGCACCCAAATCCGCAGCATCTGAGCAATGCTTTGGCCTTTCCATGGAATGCATGAGAAGTGCTTGCAGCCGTAGCCTGGACATGGGCAAGCTCATTACAATTCCAGTACAGAGCGCTAGCCCAACCTTAAAGAGAAGTCGCTCAAGTATCAGATATCAGCCATGATGATCATAAGAGCTGTCTGCAGATGAAAACAGATACTGGAAGACAAGCGGCTCATTGTCGAAGAACAACAACTCCGATGCGTTGCAAGGCACTTGTCGAAGAATGTTCCTGCAACGACCACTACTTTCAAGGTTGTGTAGATGGAGACGAGCTCAGAGGCTCCAGATAATGTCTTGCGATCAAGGAAGTTAGTACCAAACAAAGCTGGCGCCTCAGCAACGGTCGCTTGCGGCGACTGGTCCGCCTGCGCGCTTCAAGACCCATCTGATGGCCAAACGTTCTCATTTTGGGGACCGGTCCCGAAGAACTTCAGCTTGACCAGCGCATCAAGGCATCGCCTAAAGCTCAGAGGAGGCAAGCAAGGCATCGTCTTGACGAGGTGTTGACACTGTTGTTGCAGCCTCAAACGCATGCCGACTCTAACAAAGTCCATGGCCCATCTTTGAATTGGAAAGCCTGGCCGCAGGCCAAACCACATTGATTGCCGCTAAATTCTACATGAAACATGCGGTGAAGCCACTGGAGTGCGTGACTCAGGGAAACGTGAATTGCACCACTTGCGAAACTCAACGCTGCTTTCCCCCTTTTTCCTGATCCGTAACCGGGCCTTCAAGCAAGCATCTGCCCATCCAGGTTCCTGTTCAAGATGGCTATCACAACAAGGCACAAGTGCAAGCTTGCTCGGCTTTACCTAGCTGAATTCCTTATGCATCCTGATGTGCCTGTAAATGTTGGCTGGAGAACTCTCCAGCTGTTGGACTTACCGGCCTTACCGGGAACCAAAAAAAGACGGGGATGCTGAAATGGACGATGTGGATGATGATGATGATGATCATCATCATCATTATCATCTTTAGTAGTTGAGCTGTGTTGTCTGGCCGTTGGATCTTTCAGGATGACCTTGCATCCACAAACAACCTCTGTCTGCATGCACATCTTCACTACCCGACTACGACAGCCCATCCTCGCAACAGGATGCCACCGCAAGAACGGCACCTTCGCAACCTCACAGACAGCGCAGCAGCTGACAGCACCATATGTCAACCTGCAAGGCTCTACGACAACTAGAGGGCAGCATCCTTGCAAAAACTGCGGTCCCAGCAAACATTTGGTGTGCTACGCATGTTACCTTGGCTCCCAGCTCCCTCCTGCCAGGAAAATGTCGGACAAAGCCTGATGGGAATGCATGCCACAACTTCTGCATATAGTCAAACCTAAAGATATGAGGCGCAAGCAATAGGCACTCCGTCGCAGAGCTGGATTCGCTCCCCTCTTCGATCCTTAACTGGCACCAGTAGCCACATACGCAACAGCTACGTTTTTGCATACAGCCTACACCTCATTTAGAACTTCACCAAGTACTAACAAACTGACAAGTGCAGAGGAGAGCAGAAAGGGTATGGTGCCAGTCTTTGCGGAAATGCCTGGAAGCGGTCGGCGCTGCTGTTTGGTCAGACTGCTGGTGAGACCGACCTCTTTGTGAGACACAAGAAACGTTTGGACAACTTCTCCCGCATTTCATCACTGGCATCCAAACAACAAAAGAGAAGCCAGTTCAAATCTCACAGGATCAATGCACTGCCAAAGCCTGGCTCTACTGGCAAAATGCCAGGGAATCAACGGAGAAGAAGTCGGTCCGTGCTATCCCTCACTCCTTTGGAGAGACTGCATGTCCCTTTCAAGCACACCTGCTGTTGCAGGAGCTTCAACTCCGACCCTGAGGGCGACTCAAAACATGAGGACTTCGCTCCCTTCTATCCTTCATCTTTAACGCAAAGTTCCGTTGGCAGTCCCGCACGTCCAATGACCCCCCAAAGCCGTTAAAAACGCTTTGCTGCTGTACTGCAGAGCTTGCAAGTTGCAAGGCGCATGACCCTGCCTGGGCGAACTACTCAACACCACCTCCTCCTTGGAAAGACTGCCTAAATAATTTGTTCAAGGATACACTGCCCATGCAGAGAAACTAGCAGCCGACTAAGTGTGAACATGGTACATTCAAGTCTCGGGAAGGCCTGGAACCAACCCTCAAGGACTTGAAAAGCCTAACCGACTACACAGAGAATGTCCAGCTCTTCTTCAGCCGAGGAGGTGCGGGGTCCTGCAACTCATGAGCGTTTGCAAGCGCGTGACACCGCTCCCACAGGACAAAAAGAAGTCAAAGCAGGAATTCACTTCCCAAACGCCCGAGAAGCACACTCTGGATGTGAGAATGAGCCTCGAGGCAAGCGATCCATCTGCTCACATAGGATCTGGGGCTTGTTATCGCCGCACCTCAGCTGCCACATGGGTCTGCCAGCTCTGTGACATCCATAAGCCAAAAGCATAGGCCCCAGCGAAATGGAAATTTCGCAGTAATCTATCCAGTATGCAGCTGGGCTGGCCTTCAACACCAAATCCTCAGTCATCACATGTGATCATCATAGCCACGGCTGTTCTGCAAAGATTTCTGCTTCTGACCTTCGCACTGCCAGCTGACCCTGGGCTGCCTGGACCCTTTTTCCTTCCCCACACAGGTCACGGAAGTGTAGGTACCAACACAAGATTTTGGGCATCTCATTACGGTCTGGAGCGGAGCGGTTGAAGTTTGTGCATCCGCGGAGCTCTTGTTGAGCCGGTCGCAGGCACATCCTGCAAACGGCAACAATCTCTGGTTCAGGGGGTCAAGGCCTTGCACTCACTGAACATACCAAAAGGCCGTCCTTTAGGCGTTCTTCTTCTGTGGGAATCACCTCAAACAGAGGGGCATGAAAAAGGAGACTGGCTTCGGCAATCTTCAATAAAAATCTCATGCCTACAGCAAACACGATGGTGGCCGGGTGAATTCCAGAGATGATGCCAAGAGTTGAGTGCTAGATGCAATGACCACTTAACAAGTAGGAATGCCCCCCGAGACGGCTCCATCCCCATGTAATATCATCAACTCAAACCAAGATGCAGGTGGAAGATCCGGCACCTCCTTCCATGGCACAACTCAGACAAACATCTGGGCTGCACAGGCCCCCAAATGCTCACATTCTGGTCCAAGGAACATCCAAGAATAGCTCCCTACATGGGGCGCCACTACAAGGCTGGATCCATACTGAATGCTCACGAAACTGCCCGTCCTCCATTGGGTCCGTACTTTCCTTAAGCAGCACAGGCTGTTGACTAAACTCCTGAGCAGGGCAGCAATTGAGCTGAGAGAAGGCTTCAGATCCAAATCCTGGCTTTTACGCGTCTACCACCCAGCTGCCTAGCTCCTTCTCACAGCAAACTGGCCTTGAATACCGCCCAAACACGGAAAGACCCTGTGATCGCAGAACCAAAAATAGTTCAACTGAACCTTTTGGGTTGGACTGTTGATGGTAGGGAGCTGCAAGTTGACAGAAGTGCCGACACAGGCCTGTGGCTGCTTTTCTTTCTTCTTTCGAACTTTTTTTTTCTTCTCTGCCTGTTTCTCCTTCCACAAGCTCCAACCCATGGCGTCCTAAAATCTTAGAAGAACCTGTCATGCTTGATGGCTGCATGCTGTCTGCCTGCCAACCGTCTCGCGAGATCACACTATAAACATCGACCACATGAGGAATTCACTTGCAAGACTCTTTCACAGGCATCGTGAATCGGTTGTCCTCGAGAAACAATC